CCCTGCCTTATCCCTGCCCTATCCCTGCCTGGTCCCTTCCCTATCCCTGCCTGGTCTCTGCCTTATCCCTGCCTGGTCCCTTCCCTATCCCTGCCTGGTCCCTGCCTTGTCCCTGCCTGGTCCCCCACCCATCTGCGATCCCCAGGGGCTGCCCTGGGGATCTCTTACCCAGCGTGTCACGTTTGCTGGGCTGGTGTTGCCTGCGCCGTGCCAGGCTGAGACACGTGTTTCCAGTGGGGGTTTGGGTCAGATCCAGCCCTTCCCCAGGGCTGGAGCCCTTCCATGGGTCCTCATATGGCAGCAGGGGTGACAGTGGCCTCAGCCGAGAGCTTTAGGACTCTCGGTACAAATTATCCAGCCTGGCTGGTTCTCGGCATGGCACTGGCATCCCCCAACACTTCTGGGGGTGTTTGTCCTCACCAGCTGCAGCAGTGGGACCCCCTCAGTCATCCTGACATGTGGGACATTGGGATTGCTGCCTTGGAGTCATGGATGAGGAAACTGAGGCACAGGACTGGGAGGAAGAGCCCTGGGCAGGGTCACTGAGGGCTGGGCATGGTTGGGGAGGGAGTGTCTCGCTGTTACCTCCTGTGTGTTCCTCTGTTTCCCCTGGTCCCATCTGGGAAGGGGTTGCTCCCTGGCATTGCGGTCTGTGCCCAGATCCCGCTGTGCCCATGGAACTGACACTCCTTTTTGCTCACAGTGGGCTCCGGGCCACAGCAAAGATCACATACCAGGCGGTGCTGCTGGAGAACCTGGTATGTAGGTCCTTCCTCCTCCTCCTCTCTCCCAGTGGGAGGGCAGGGCATGGCTATGCCCAGCCAAACTTGCCCGATGCACAGGGAGCAGCTGCAGGGCGCAGTGCCCAGCCCCACAGTGTTCCAGTGTCCCCGTGGGAGCGGGGCAGGTGGCAGTGCCACCGTTCCTCCTCCCGGAACACGTGTGCTCCTGTCACCGGACGCTGCCGTGGCCATCAGCAATGCCGTGTCCTGCCTTGCAGGGGGTGACCCTCACCCTGTGGTCCACGTGTGGCCTGTCCCGAGGGGGCCTCTACGGGGAGTGGCAGGGGGTCATCTGCCCCGGGGAGAGCAGCTCGCAGGTCCAGGTACGGCACCGGGGGGGTCCTGGTGGGGCCGGGAGCAGGGGGAGGTCTCCAGCTTAACCCCCCTGCCGTGCCATTCCCACAGAAGTACCTGCAGCAGCTGTGGAACACCATCCTGCTGATTGCCCTGCTGCTCTGCACCGGGGTCATGGTGCAGGCACAACGCCAGTCGCGGCAGGACCTGTCAGAGCGGGATGCTGAGGTGGGATCGTCCCCGCTGTGCCCTGTGCCTGGGGCAGTGGCACGCAGACCTGCCCCTGCCCCCTGGCTCTGCCCCTGACCCCTGGCTCTGCCCCTGACCCCTGGCTCTGCCCTTGCAGCTGGACCTGAAGCAGCACATTCGGCGGCGGCTGTTGGCGCTGAAAACCCGGCGGTACCACCCTGGGAAACCGCCGCGGAGCCGGGCCTGTGAGATCGATAGCTGTGCTGTGTGCTTGGACCAGTTCCACAAGAGCCAGGTGGGACTGGGGGCCTGGAGCCTGCCCTGGGGGCACTGGTGCTGGTGCCACCCTGGGATGAGGTGTCCCTGCCGGGTCCAGCTGTGTCCCTGTCAGGGTCCAGCTGTGTCCCTGCTGGGTCCATTCACGTGTGCCCTCCCTTCCCTGCCGGCAGTGGCTGCGGGTGCTGCCCTGCTCCCACGAGTTCCACCGGGACTGTGTGGATCCCTGGCTCCTGCTGCAGCAGACCTGCCCCCTCTGCAAGCGCAACATCCTGGGTGAGAACTGCCATGGCACCTAGCCAGGACCCCTTGGTCACCCCGGGGCGTGGGCTGGGGAGCACTGAGAGCCCTCCAGGCTCCCTGTGCCATGGCTCTCCACCGTTCTCCCTTGCAGGGAACTGCTGCACGGACAGCTAGCGGGCCTGAGGACACTCCAGGGACAGACCCACGGCCACTCCGGGGAGAGGGAGGGGACAGGGGGTGCCCAGTGAGTGGCACCTGCTGCCAGAGCTGGGTCAGTGTGGCTGTGCCACCACAGCGCCCAGACACCAGAGGGAAGGACTCGGGGCTCTCTGATGGGTGTGAGTAGAGGGGTGGGAGGTCCAGATGGGCAGTGCCGGATAGGGAAGCTACGGGGGCACCCATGGGTGTAACAGGGTGGGAGCTGGGGGCAGGGAGAGTCCTGACCCTGCCACCCTTGCCCTGCTCATGGGAATTTTTCTAAGTCTTGGGTTTTTTGTCTATTTGCTGGTGGCCATGGCAGGGTGGGCAGAGCCCGGCTGTGGCACCAGCCCCTTGGGGAGGTGGGGTACAGACCTGCCAGGGCTGGGGCTGGCAGGACTGCGGGGTGACCCATGGCCCTGCTGTGGGAGGGCAGGGGGCAAGGATGCTTTATTTATAGTAACTTATTAGAAAGGATGGCACGAGTCGCTGCAGAGCCACCACTGGGCTCCTCTCACCCAACATGTGAGTGGGGACATGCCATGAGCCCTGCCTGGCTCCTGCCCCACAGGCTGCAACGTGGCACATGTCCATCCCTATTAAACACAGAGCAAAGACTGGCTGTGTGGCTTGTGTGGGGCTCATGGGGCAGCTGGGAGGTCACGGCCAGCCTGTGCCAGTGCCTCGGTAGTCCCCAGCCCCTCTGGGTGCTCATGGAGTGAGGAATGACTTTTCCAAGCTGTGGCTGTGCTGGTGGGCCAAGAGCAGCTGGGATTCCTTCAGCCCAGCCCAGCTCTGCCTTCCTCTTCCAAGGGTGGCCACATCTCAGTCCCCTCTTGGGAATGGTTCCTGGCAGGAACTAACACACACAGTGCCCAGGCATTGGCACGGGCAGGGCTGTGCTGGGGCCTCCAACAGCAGTGTAGCCAAGGGTGACTGAGCTCCAGCGCCCAGGAACGTCCCTGGAGCAGCTCCACAAGGAACAGGCAGAGCCCGGGTTTCCCAAGGGAATGTGCATTCCTGACGCACAAAGACCTGGTAACAAGATCCCCCTGGGCAGGGCAGGTGGCTGCTCCTGGAACAGTTCATTTCCCTGTTAGAAGATCAGCTCATCAGTGTTTATTTGTGGTGGGTCCCCGTGTGGTGCAAGGGGGGGTCGAGCCCCAGGCGTCCCACTGGGAGCGACAGGCTGGGTCTGGCCTGGAATGTGGGCCCTGCCCGGAGCACCTTGGAGTGCTGGCTGCTGGGAACTCGATGCCAGGCCTTGTCCATGCATCCCGGCATCCCTCTGCTGTCCCTGCTGTCTCTGCTGTCGCTGCTGCCTCCCCTGCTGGGCCACCTGCAGTGGTGGGAGCAGTTAGAGAAGACGAAGAACAGAGAAACTCCCAGCCCCTTTCTCTGGGCTCCTACTCACCCTGTGTCCTGCCCGCTGGCCTTCCCTTGGAGCTGGGACCCCAGCTGGGCCTGTGGGATTAGCTGAGGCAGGGAAGAGAAGAGGGGGTGAAATTCCACATCTCCCCAGCATTCAGCTCCAGTGACAGCCCTCAGCCTCTGGCCTGGAGGTGTCACTGCTGGAACCGGCCCTGGGCACCTCAGGGCTGAGTGACCTCCCAGCAGCAGGAGGATCCCAGCCTGGCCCTCCTGCGGTCCCCAGAGGATGTCTGGGGGCCATGGGGTGGTTTTGGGGTGCACAGCACCCACCCCCCTCTGCCCCATGGCCCCAGCTCACCTTGAGCACGCCCTGCTGGGCAGCTGCCTTCACCTTGGCCAGCACAGCGCCCAGCCGCGCGTTCTCCCGCTCCAGCACCCCGATCCGGATGCTGTTGGCCTGGAGCTGATTCTCCATGTCCTCCGTCAAGTTCCCAGTGCCTGCAGGCAAAATCCAGCGGAGCTCAGCCTGCTCAGAGGTGTGGGCATCCCTCCTGCCTGCCAAGGAAAGGAGCCTGCCCCAGCCTGGGAGCACAGGCCAGCCTGGGAGGTGGCAGCTGGGACCCCAAACTCTGCAGGCAAATGTAGCTCTGCCATGTCCTGCTCCTGCTGTAATTCCTGGCCTGGAGGTGGGATGCATGGCACCCACATAGGGAAGCACGTTGGGACGGTCACAGCTTAGCACAGCCCAGGGCCTGAGCTCTTCCTGGATATCAGTGGGACAAATGGTGTGTCTGGGGCCAGCAGGATCCCCTGGGAGACCCCAAAGGCACTAGCCCAGGGTGTTGCTACTCCCTTACTCTCAAACTGCGCCTCAGTGGGGACATGGAGCTCAGGGAAGAACACCAGGAGCCTCTCCCGCTCCCTCAGCTCCTGCGCCTGCTCCTCCAGCCGGGACGTGTTTGTCTGCAGCTCCAGGATGGATTGCTCCAGGGCCAGCTTCTCCTGCTGCAGCGTGTCCAGCAGCTCCTGCGTGGCACAGTGGGGAGGAGGGGAGGTTTGCAGGATGAGGAATCCCATGGGAGCACTCAGACCTCCATGGAAAGCTCCCTCCCTTTCCTCATGTGATAAGGTTGTCCCATGAAGTTGAGAAAGGGACAGGAATAATGTGCAGGGGCTTGGCTCTAAGGTCCCTGTGTGACCTGAAAGCAGCAGCACTGAATATGTCTAGGAATGGGCACACTGGAGATGTGGGAGCAGCCTGAGGTGTCCCTTTCTGCTGCCTTGGGTGTGGGAAAAATCAGTGGAGACCTGTCTGCCAGAGGCTCAGGGAGAGTCCTGGCAGGGATGACCATGTGGCAATGTCACCATGTCACCCAGAGTGCCCCTCCTGGAAAGCTCTGGCTGTGGGTGTGGGTCAGGGCACCGTGTGGCTCTGGACACGCCCGTGGCACAGCTGTGTCCCACACCTTGGTACCAGCTCTCACCTGCTGTGCCTGGAGCTGTTTCCCGCTCTGCTCCCGGCTCTGCTCCAGCTGCTCCTCCAGCCGGGCCTTGTCCTCCTTGGCCTCTTCCAGGCTGTTCTGCAGCTCCTCCCGCTCCCGGTCCAGCCTGTCAAGCTGCTGCAGCAGGAGCTTCTGCTTGGCCTGCAGGGACTGTGGGGGTGGGTGAGGTTGTGTGGGGCTGTGGCACCCGCTCCCCCCTCCCTGACACCGGGGGCAGCTCCGGGCCGGCCGTACCTCCTCGTGCAGCAGCACACTCTGCACTCGGACCTTCTCCTTCTCCAGCTCCAAGCTGGTGGCACTCAGCTCCTGCTCCAGGCTGTCCCGCTGGCCTGTGAGCATCTGCACCTTCTCCTCCAGCTCCAGCATCTGGCTCCGGGCCACCATGGTGGTCCTCATCTCCTCCACCAAGGTGGTCTTGGTGAGCTCTGGGGAGACACAGCGGCTGTGGCCCAGGCTGGGCGGGGGGGGAACAAGTGGAAGGTCCACAAAGATGCTGCCAGGGCTGGAGCCCCTCTGCTCTGGAGCCAGGCTGGGAGAGCTGGGGGGGTTCACCTGGAGGAGAGAAAGCTCCAGGGAGAGCTTAGAGCCTCTTCCAGGGCCTAAAGGGGCTCCAGGAGAGCTGGAGAGGGACTGGGGACAAGGGATGGAGGGACAGGACAAGGGGGAATGGCTTCCCACTGCCAGAGGGCAGGGAGAGATGGGATATTGGGAAGGAATTGTTCCCTGTGAGGGTGGGGAGGCCCTGGCCCAGGTTGCCCAGAGAAGCTGTGGCTGCCCCTGGATCCCTGGAAGTGTCCAAGGCCAGGTTGGACGGGGCTTGGAGCAACCTGGGCTGGTGGGAGGTGTCCCTGCCCGTGGCAGGGGGTGCATCTGAATGGGCTTTAAGGTCCTTCTGACCCAAAGCATTCCATGATTCTATGATTTAGGGGCCCCCAATGCCCTGCACAGGTCCTGGCAATGGGGGGAAGGTCTGACAGGACAGTTGTGACCCCCCAAATCTCCACTAGCAGCAGCCCATTCTGCACTGGGTGATGTTGGGCGCTGCTGTGAAGGAGGTCCTTCCTCTGCCCATCCCTACCAGCTCTACAGCCTCATCTCGGTGCACTGGGGGCTACGTGGGTGTGAAATACCATAAGAGGGACAAGGGTGGGGGAAATGTGCATGCTGGGTGACCCTGGGGGTCCTCACCGAGCTCCTGCAGAGCTGCCTGCTTCACCTCCAGCTCCTCCTTCAGGGTGGAGAGTCGCCCCTCCAGCAGAGCTGCTCCTAAATCAGCATAAAGAACCCCTCCAATTAATCAGCTCCTCAAAAAAACTAAAGTGAAGCAGAAAACAGGCCCACCAAAGTTTTTTCATCCAGTGATTGTGTTGTGCTGCAGCAGGGAGGAGGCAGTGACAGGACATGGACAACCAGCTCCTGCTGCCTGGGATTATCCTCACAGCAGGGAAAATCCCCCAGCACCTACAAAAATCTATGGCAAAAGCCCTGCTCCTGGTGGTGGGGCCCAAATTTGCCCATGAACTCTGTGCTTCTCCTGCACATACCCCCAGGCCTGGGAGGGAATGCTGGGAACAGCTCTGTACCTCTCCTTAGATCATCCTTATCCTGCTCCAGCCTGGCCACAGCCTCCAAATGCTCCTTGTCCTTGGCTTTCAGGCTCTGCTCTGCCTTCCTCTGCTGCTGCACTTGGGTCTCCCTCTCCACTTGCAGCTTCCGGGAAAAGTCCTCCACCTGCTTCCTCAGCTCCTCCTTCTGTTTCCCCACCTCTTCCAGCTCAGCCTTCACCGGGTTCAGCTGCTGCAGCAGCTCCTGGAGGTGTTTGTTGATCCGGGAGAGATCCTTGCTCTGCTCTGCGGCCCAGTAGCTCAGCTCTGTCGCAGAGAGGCTCCTTCTCCCCGTGCTGTCCTCCAGCACCCCCTGGAATTTGCTGAGGGCCGAGGGGATGTTCTGGCTCTGGCAGAGGCTGGTGATGGCTCTGCCCACCTCCCGCAGGCTGGCCTGGGCGCTGGAGCAGCTGTCACAGGAGCCCAGGGGGCACCCCGAGGTCTGTGTGGGGACACTGCGGGTGCCCTGGGCCAGGCTGGGGCCAGCCCTGGGCTGAGAGCTGCCCGAATTGCCCAGAGAGTGAGGAGGAGATTGCTGTGTGGGGATCTCCTTCCTGCAATCCTTGTCCTGAGGGAGAGAGCACAGAACAGGACCGGTGCCCAGATCGAACTGGAAACGATCCATAAGAGCCCAAATCTGAGGTGTGAGCTGTGGGAATGGGACAGCAGTGCAGCCAAGGGACAGTGACCAAGGGGCAGCCTCAGCAGCAGAAGCTGCTCCCCACCTCCCCTTCTTGTGACCATCCCTTCTTTCCCACCCCCCGTGCTGTCTCCTGGGTATGCCACATGGATTATTGTGAGACTTCTCCACAAGAAAGAACTTTTTTTGGAAAATAAAATGCAGAGGAGGTATTTTGGATGGTGTTTTTACCCCCAGTTATTTCACTGATTTGAAGCAGCTCAGCCCCTCAGTGGGGGTGGCTGAACTGCAGCATTTTGGCAGGAGGAGAATATTTTCCAAGCTACAGAGGCAGCCAAGCTCACCCATCCCGAGATCCTGGTGGAGGATGGATCCAGCAGCACGGCTGGGAGTAGGGGAGGGAAGGGACTCAGGCGGGGAGGGCACAGTGTGGGACAGATGTGACACACAGGTCAGCACTCAAAGGGTTGGAGCACAGGGTGTCCCAGAGAAGGACCATGGTCCAAATCCCGGGGGGGTGACCCCAGATGTCTCACCTGCTGCTGGAGCTGCTGGCAGAAGGCCCCCAGTCTCAGCATGGTGCTCCAGAACCTCCTGGCCGTGAGCCCCGCGGACATGCAGGGCCCCGGGCCCCGCGCCGGCGGCACCGCGCGCCCGCACAGCACCATCTCTGCATAGCCCGTGAAGCTCTGCAGCAGCAGCAGGAGCCTGTCCCGGCAGGAGAACACGCCTTGGAGCCACAGGGATCAGAAATGGGAGCTGGGAGAGGTTGTTGGCCCCCTCCCCATCCCCTGCACAAAGCCAGTGTGGCGCAGGAGGGTGGGATCGGTGCTCCAGAGACCTTCCCCCCGAGGCCGAGATCACTCCATGGAGCAGCATTTGGTGGGATCAAAGTCAGGCTGTGCACACTGGCTGGGATTAGGCTCTCTCTAAAGTTTTGGGACACCAATCCTAATTTTTAGGGCCAGTAGCTGTGAGGGAATGGCTCATCTTTTAAACCTCAGTCTCCTCCAGCTGAACAAGCCAAGTGCCCTCAGTTTCTCCTCAAGGCCCTTCACCATCCTCCCAGCCCTCCTTTGGACACAGCTTTATGTCCTTGTACCGAGGTGCCCAAAGCTGGCCCCAGGACTCGGCTGAGCTCAGCAGGTTGGTACCCACACCCCCCTTCCCTCTGGGGTGCTCAGGGCTGTCTCACCTGTCTATGAGCAGCTCCAGCAGCACCACGTGTGAGTGCTGGCTGAACTCGGGCTCGCTCTCGCTGTGCCTGTACTGCTGCAGCAGCAGCGACACGTCCAGGTCGCAGGACACCTTGTCAGGGAACTTCCATGACGGGAAGCGCACGGCGCCGGCCCGGGAGGTCACGTCGGCAATGGCAGCCTGCAGGTCCTGCAGGTCGGCCCGCAGGCTCTCCATGCAGCCGCGGTGGCCCAGCAGGTGCGCCATGGTGGGCGGTGGGACACGGGCTGGGAACCACGGGGCCACCAGGCCAGGGTGCTGAGGGGTCACCGGGTGTGCGATAGAGGGAACGCTCTACCGGGACAGCCCGCTGGAAAGCGACTGGCACGGTGTTACCGGGCCCGGGGGGCTCCAGGAGGGCGGGGAAAGCAGAGGAAACCGGGAGGGAACAGGGTGAACGGCGGAGAGGAGGGGCCGGGCCGGGCTAGGCCGCGGCGTCCCGGCCCTGTTGCCATGGTAACCTCCCCCCCGCCCCGCAGTGGTACGCGCCTGCT